TTTCCTGGTTAAACAAAGACCAAAGAGATGATGATATAACACTTGTGTACACATCACAGTTGACTTACAGTTATTTTAAGCCTTTACATACAAATGTACCAAAAAATCAGATTTAGTTTCAGCTAGGTCTCTGTTTCTTATCTGATTGTTATTTGTGCTTCTAAGAAATTATTTAGTGTTAAATGAGTACAAAAATTCCGAACAAGAGAATGAAAAATCAATATAATACAGCATCAGTCTGTTACTAATGACTGGCATTTAAAAAATAACAGAATGCTCAAAATGTACTGTTTTCAGACAATAAATAAATTGTCTGAAGTACTATTAATGAATATGAATAAGATTAACAGTAAAATACATATACTTACAATGAAGTCCCTACTTAAGGAGAAAGAAGAGCAGGGTAAGTCTGTTCCATTATACGGCGAAAATAAATTGTATTAAGATATCATTTCTATTTTATGAGATGTATATGCCAAGTCTACGTATTAAACCAGCAAATTTATGTAGTTTTGTTTCCATAGTACATCTACAGGATGCCCACAGCTCTTGAATTGTAGAGTTCCACTGACATCAGCTGGACACAGGACTGCACCTACTCTTATATTCTGTCCTATGGTTACTTTAAACTAGTAACAGCTTTACCACATAAACCAAGAGCATAAAGCAAGATGGTATTTGATTTCCAGTAAAAAGTGACTTATTTTTTATTTCAGTGACAGATAGATCAGCTCCTCACCTAATATGGTAAATTTTTGCTTTTATGTTCAATAGGTTAAGACTGATCTGATTCCATTGAAGACTGTTGAGTTAGTCTGGATTTACATAGGTAAATTTCTGAGATGAGTTTGTCCCTGAGCATTAACATTCCTATTTTTATTTTTCAACACAGCATCAATCAGAATACATAAGGATGAATGAATTGCAACTAGAAATAAAGACTAAATAATGGAAAAATATATTAAGAGAAAACTGTCAAGTTCCTCTATATTCAGGAAATCAGTGCATATTATTATTTTCAAAACATGAATATTTAACTCGATTGTCAATTTTTTCTTTAGAAAGAAATTTCACAGAATATATACATAGGGCTTTTCCAGTTAATGCTGTGGATTTGCTCTTAACATTACACTGCAACTGGCAGTAAAAAAAAAAATCATATCAAGTCCTGATTTTCTAGTCCATATCACATTCTGAGTCTCATTTGCCACCATTATAATTCATCTTAAATCGTACAAAACGGGGAATGTTTAATCTAGATGTAGTTCTGCTCCTGCTCTTCTCCCCTCCCATGAAGATTTTTATTAGGCTTTGTAAAACATTTTTACTACAAAATCTACATTTGGAAGTTAAAGTACTCAAAGGATGCCTTTTCAACTTTCATTTATAAAACAAACCTAACCAATTGAAATGGTATACGGACCGATATTTTTCTTTTTGCTAAGGATAAACTAACTTTTCCTTCCTCTGAAAAACTGTCTTATTCAAAATGATTAATGGGAAGAGAGCAGAATCAAAACAAATTTCCCTAGCATTACGTGATTGTTCCTCTAAGCACTTCTGTGTTGAAGATTTTGGAATCCCACTAAAAACTAAATTCTGCTTGTGTTACTAATGCAAAAAAAATTCACTGACTTTGGAGGGACTATTTGTATGACAGAGGCAAGAAAGATTTTTTTAGGCAACAGAAGAAGAGAAAAACTTTCATTAAAAATTGTTGAGATGATTAGAAAACATTACTGTTTAACTACTTCATAGTTTTTCTATCTCTTTCATCCACATACATACGATCCAAAAGAGAATCTTACAGGCACTTAACAAAGTCTAGTTTCAGAAATACAACAGTACCAAACAATTTTATTAATATTTCACACAAATTTTTAAGTCAATGCTGGCTAATATTTTGATGTTGCTGAAGGTAAAGAAAATTCATAAACAATAGCTTTCTGTGTTTTACATTGGACTGGTTGTTATAAATAACTATCTTAATTAAAAACTAACCTACAACAGTAATGATCGAAACAGGGTAAAACCATTATGTTTTGTTTTCTTTACTTTATTTCAAAATAGAGTAATTATAAATACATTCTTGTTATATTTCCTTCCTAACTCTTTGGATGCAACCAAAAAAAGAAAAAAATCTCACTGTGCTCATTTCATACAATATCAATGTACAAATCATGCAAAAGAAGATATTATAGATATTATACCACCATCAAGTTCCGGATGTGTTTTGTTGAATCTGAAACATTTGTTAACATTATTCACAAGGCCATGCCTTTTATAATTTCTATCATCATTATGGCTTTTTTTTTTTTTTAAAAAAAAGTCATTTAAAAAAAGATTCTTATACTAGATTTCTATATTATTGTCAATCTTGAACACTAAATGCAAAACGTAAATCGTCTAATGGTCTTGTGTTCTTGCACCATCATAATTGCTTTCTGATAAAATTACACAATTTTTTCTTTTTCAAGGAAACAATTACACTTTATTGATTTTATTTAAAAATGGAAACCTCTTTATAATACAATGAAGACAACAGATTATGTTAACACCTTCACTGATTTAGTTTATGTCTATGGGTCTTAACAGCCATTTTACAAGCATGGCCACTCAAACCGATATAATGAACAGATAGATCTGTTAAGCCACATCTGAAGAGTCACCTTTCCAGATAGACTGACTATAGATTTGAATGGACATTACACTAAAACTGCTGTGCAGACACATACACTGTTTCAAAACATGGAGGAAATAAACTGCCATTAAGGTTGTCATTCAAAGTAACAATTTCACAGAAATATAGTGTTTCGCCAACTTCTGCATTCTTCACTCACACTATTATGCCTACATATTGCACCATATATGTAAAAACATTTAGGAACAATTTCTACAGGAAGGTCCAGATTGCACAACTTTTATTGATGCTGGTGAACCTACACTCAACTGCATAATCCCAAAAGAGTCACTGGGCTTTATGTATTATATACAATGTTTCTGAGCTGGCTTTGTTTGAAGTCAATAACAAAACTCTATCTAAGCCCCACTGTTGGGCAGGTGTTTAATTATTAGCTCATGAACAGTACCTCTGCACATGGTTTAGGTCGAGCTTTAACACTTTTACTGAACTGGGACCTCAATGAGCGGGAAAATCTGACCCAGTGTAATGGTACAGCATAACAGTTAAGTTCCTCTTTTGATCAGTGAATAGAAGACTTTAACAAAAAACAAACAAAAAACCTCAAAACAACAAACAAAACCACACAAAACAAAACCTTCCATTTTTTAGCTGAGGAAGGTATGATCATTTATCATCGTTCTTTTAACTCAGGGCAACACAAGTCGTAAGCACATGAGTTTTAAAATCACTTAAAAGTATTAGTTTATGTGTTATTTTCAATATTTTAATGCATGCCTCTCATGGGACATGACAGTCTCTGACAATGCACTGAGTGTGTCAGAAGCCTTATGCTTTGGCAAATCCCGGAGAACCTGGACACATCCTCAACACCACTCAGCACTGTGCAGAGCAGACACAGTGACCCATTATTCTTAGCCTACTGATGGAGCCATTACAGTCTATCATGTCAGTGCATCTTTAGCGCTCCTTAATCCACAGACTCTTGACACAATAAGCTCAAATGTTCTTATTCAAGTCTTGGCCACATAGTGCATCATTTTCAACCAAGAACTTTTTATGCTAGAAATGCGTATGCACATAGTATCCATGTCCTGGAAATCCCTATGACATCCTGAATGAAGTCAATAACTGTGCATGGATAGCAGCAGCTTTTTGAAAGAAACTCAGCCATTAATTTATCTGTTATAATTTTATTATCTGAAGTTAAGTATATACTTTGCAGTATGGAGAAAAATAATAAAACAACCCTCTTTCTAAGTTACAATAGCATAAGCAAACATCTGAAAGTAGAACAATGTTGTTTTGTTTTGCTTTCTCTTAAATAAAGAAACAGTACTTTTTTTTGTAAACTTTGTTAAAAATATACTACAGGCTGTTTGCCAAGTATCATTCCAGAATAAAAATTTCACAGCAGTGTCATAAAGCCCTGAAATTAGAGGTTTATAATGGAAATAGCCGACATAGCCTTCTTCACAGTATTATTATTGGGTCTTGCTGTAATATTTCCTAGTTTCAAATTAATGAAAAACATTCATGTTTATACCCTACTAATCTTAATTGATTTATGTATTGATTATAAAAGGTGGGGGGAACGGTTCTGGAAGCAAAGGAAATGGAAGGTCTTAACCAAAGCTCATTGAAATTAATGAAAAAATTCCTTTTCAAGTCAAAGAACTTCTGTTAATCTTATAGTATATATTCGCTGTATGATGCTTTACCAATATATCTCCATTCTCATCTCAAGGTACCATCTATCAGTGAGATACAGTAGGGATTTTCCATTCTCCTGACTATTTTTTTTTCCTAGTTATTCGGATTCAGCTTTCATAAAAGAAAGTTTTTACTCTCTAGATACAAGCAATATCTAGATAATACTCTGAACAATGCTCTGAACTGAGACCACTATATTCATTTTACACTGTGGTTTTAAATAGACAGGATTTGTCATACTGTTCACTGTTCTGATCTGTTTTTTCTGACTGACAGCAACCAGACAGATAGTAAGAACAGAAAACATATGCATATAGAATTAAAATATTACCCTTACCATGAATTCCTGTAAATACTTGTAGTGAAAACTATTTAGATTAAGCTGTAGAACCCTGAAAAGCAAGACAACTGATGGCAAATAATTGCCTGAGACACAATACTAAAAAACTAATGAATCTATTTTAAAATGCACCATTGGTAACAAATCTGAAATAAGATAATAAGCTAATTTCACAAGAATAGTACAGAACAATTTTTTATTATTATTATTATTATATCTGATCACTTAATTCTGGATAATTCTATACATTACATCGCCAGTTCCTGTTTGGTATATTGTTCTGGTTTTATTTATACTGAATGATTAATGCATTGTGATCAGGAAAACAAGTCAGGCATATTAAATACATATTTAGGAGTACATATTTTTCCTATTTAGTATACAAAGTATTTCATAAATATGAATTATATTACAAAAATAATTTCTGCTACGCTCACACAGTAAGCACTTTGACAATTTTGGACAACCTGTTGGGGTTGCAAGTGTTTCATGTAACTGAGAAGGTATTCTAGTTTTAATTGGAGGTGAGTCTTACAACAGATTCTGCATAAACATCAAATATTTTCTTCAGATGCCACAAATACTGCAGAAGTCAGGTTGAACTAGTTTCTTTTTTTTTTTTTTTTTAATTTTATGTATAGACATGTATGCTTCAAGTGGTCAAATTTATTTCATAGGTATGTAATGTGTGATGTATTTTAAACAAATATTTGCACAATTTAACATTATAATTCCAGTGGTTTCAAGATGCAGGCCATAAATGTAACCAATTTACAAATACTATCGAATGTTCTCTCTTTGCATGCTTGTTAACTTTCCAGATAATCTTTAAACAGTGCCATTACAACACCACAAATCAAAGGATTACTCCAGTTCCACCAACTTAAATCCACGTGCAGGATGAAGGACCCAGCTGAGGTACAAATACCAGTACCAGGTTTCTTGTGTTTGTTCTAACAAATCACAAGGATACGATGGTTTTGCATTTAAGGTACAAAACATATATGCCTCTTGAGGTTAAATTCAGTGTAACGTGTATAAAGCATCCCTTTGGCAATAGAGTTTGCAGTATCCCTACAGGATTCCACAGGGCATGAGCTTTATGTAGTAAAATCTATTAAGGAAATTCTCCTCTGCTTGACAAATCATATGCAGCTACAGTTAATCAGACACCCCTGGATACACCTGCCTCTATGCCTATCGATATAATATAGTATTTGGAAGTTAAAAGTCAACAAAAGGCACTTTCATCATTAAATAAATGTCCTCTGTAGGCAATAAGATTGTATGACCTATATTTTATTCAAAGCTGTTTGTTCTTCAAGGACTTGTAGGTAGTCAGGTGAACCTTGAAGTTTAGCTTTTAGTTCAAAATATTCACTTTTTCTTTGTTCTACTACAATTTTACTATGATTACCACCTATTAGAGATTTCTTTGTTTTTTTGTCTTGTAGTTTCTCTGGATAACGTATTTCAAAGCCACTGACCCCTATGCTGTTGTATTCTTTTTTACTTTCAAGAAAATTTTGAATAAATACATTGGAATCCCTCCCAGGGAATAACTCATCCAGTTCATCGATCGTGCTAAGTCTTTTTCTGGTATCCACATGCAACAAATCTTTCTCCTTGTCATTAATATTTCTCAGAATGACTTTTTGCCCTGGTGGGTCAGCAAACGTGAAGCCCGTTTCAGACTCTTTTAAGCCACAGGTATGACTTTTGCTCATCTGCTCAATGGTTTGAGGAATGAAGGCCTCTGCACCTAGTCCATCTTTTTTGTTTGACTTGTGATCATGCTTTCTTAGCTGCAGTTGCATAGAACTGCATTCTTGATTTCCAATCCCTTCGTGCTTTACAGTTGGTTTTTTGTTGCGCCGAAGCACAAAAACAAGAAGACAAAAAGCAACAAACACTGTTAAAATAAGTACAACTAATATGCTTAAGATCAGAATGGACAATGGAACTGGCCCACCAGGAGGACTCCGAACTGGTCCCGGTGGTGTTGTAAAAGTAACAGCAGGCATAGGACTAGTGAACAGAGCAGATGGCTTGTTTAAAAGTTTAGGACAGAGGATCTCGTTTTTCAGAGACTTAAGTTCAATGTTAGCAAATTGTACAGGTGTTTCACATTTCAATTCCTTCATCACAATACCTTCATTTAGCTTTTCAAGCCACAGCTTTAAAGCAACTAAATCACAAGTGCAGTCCCATGGATTACCTTCCAAATCAATTTGTGTAAGAGATTTTAGCTGATCAAGAACGCCACTTACAGGTAAATACATGAAATGATTGTTCCTCAGGTTCAGTCTAGCAAGTGGTGCACCAGCAAAAATATACGCTGGCAAGCTTCGTAGAAGATTGTTGTTCAGGTAGAGCAGCTGCAAATTTGGCATTAAGTCAAAGGTGCCTGCTAGGATTTCTTTGATAACATTGTATTCCAAATACAGATATTGCAAGTTGTGGAGGCCAGTAAACATTTCTGGGCTCAGACGCTCTATCTGATTCCCATTGAGATACAATCTCCGTAAATTTGTAAGGTTGCGGAAAACTTCTCCTTTGATCACTGAAATCCGATTGCTGCCTAAGTGTAGCAAATCCAGCCCCTCAAACTCAATGAAATCTGTAGTGTCCACATCCTTAATATAATTGCCATTCACATGCAGTTTCTTGGCATTTAAAGGTTTTGGTACAAGTTCGGCCATTGACTCTATATTTCTTTCTTGGCAATTTACACTTAATCCCAAGTCTGAAGGATGTGTCTTGCAAACACAGGGGACCGGACATGGTGTTAAAGGAGGCACCCTGGTCTGATAAGATACGATTTGACTGAGATTGCGATTAGATAGTGCTTTGCCTGCTACTATCCCCGAGATCTTCGAAGGATTTGTAGTCTTTGGCGGCTTTGTGACTAATCTGTGCACTGATGTTTGAGTGGTGTGGCCATTTGGTGTGCTGTAACCAGGCTCCAACTGCGAGGGAGGCAGAATGCGCACATCAAAATCACTCCCCGTTCCCATGGAGCACAGCTCTTGCTTGTTGGTTTCTTTCAGCAGCCTTCCATACAAGTCACTGGGTGTTTCACAGATAGCTTCTCCAATGTAGATGTTATAGGGCATGTTCTCCAGCCACGCTTTCAAAGGCAACAAATCACAGGTACAATTCCAGGGGTTGTCTTCCAGCTGCAATTCGACAATTCGCCCAATGTGTTCCAGAACTCCAATGTATGGAAGCTTTTGTATTCGATTCCCCCGTATATCCAGATGGGTTAGAGAAGCAAATCGAAAAATATTATCGGGAAGGAATGAAATCAGATTGTCATTAAGGATCAGGACTTTCAGCTTGTGAAGCTTATTGAAGGCTCCCCGTTCAATAAACTTGATTAAATTGTAGTCAGCTTGGAGATACTCCAAGTTCTCTATGCCAAGGAAAGTGTCAGCTCGGAGAATCTTTAATTCATTGTTGTTCAAGTGCAACTGTTTTAATGCACTAAGACCCATAAAGGCCCCTCCCTCAATGTTCTGTAACTTATTATTACCCAGTTGCAAGGACACTGCATGTGTAAAATTAAGAAAGGAATTTGGATATAGAATGATTAGCAGGTTGTTTTGAAAGTTGAGGTGGTAAAAATTAGACCATGGTGGTTTAAGCTGATTTGGTCTGTAGACTGCAACCTTCTCACAGTTGACATAGAGTACATTCTCAACTGACACACAGGAGCAAACATTGCAAATTTCCACAGATATATCAGCATCTGCAGTTGTAGAAGAAACTGGAGATGACAGAACCAGAAAGAGCCACAGAAACATCTTCTTGTGATCAGCAAGCAACCTTAGGCTCCTGAACAAAGATAAAGAATCTAAAGAAGAAAGAAGGAAAGAAAAAAGAAAATGTTTTTCAGTTGTCATTGTTCCAAAACATCATTTGGGTTAAAAATTGTATTCCACTGAGCTACTGTACCTGCCAAGGATTACTACAAGCTGAATTTAAAATAACATGAAAGATTTTAACAACCAAACAAATACAAGGGAGCCAGAATGATTTCAAATACAGAATGTAAATTTCTGTAGACAAACACAAATAACTCTGAGGTCTGTCAAATATCTTTCTCTGTGTTGTACATGCCAAACACGCATAACTAACAAAGTAAAATAACCAAAGGAGATTCCAATTTTATGCATATTTACTCTCCTCAATCCTGCACTGCTCATACATTGCCATGCATTTCAGGGATATTAAACACAAATGTTGATGCTATGCATGCCCAAATAACTGGCTTGGGATAGCGCAATATAGAAAAGATGAAGATATAGACACAGAAAGCAGTGTCGACTCAATGTATGTATCTATAGCATCAACACATACAGATTATCACTATGTTAACAGTGAGATTCACTCAAGGGATACATAGGCATGCACACACATTGTTTCTGTCACTTTTAATACCTATTTTAAATAAATAGGTGGTAAACTGATTGCAGAAATACAATGAGCTATCCACAAAACCAGATCAGCTCTGGATGACCAATGGAAGCACACAGACATGGAAGAAGCATGCACGGGCATACAGCCCCATCCCCAGGAATAACAACAATGCCCTGAGTTGCAGGGCAAAACAGTCACAATTCACCACCCTGACACTACTGAAACCTGAGAAGAACTTTTTTTTTGGTTGGGTTTTTTTTTTTTGTAAAACATTATGTAATTTGCTCTTATCCCCGAACAGATACAGAGGTGGCTTTCAAGAACCCTTCACATACAGTCAGGCCAGCTGAGCTGCCATTTTTTTTACGCAG